TGCCTGGGCATCCACCTAAATGTGGGACCCAGCTTCTTATTCTAAGTTAGCCCTCCCACCCCCACTCCAAAGGCCGCAACTCACAGTTAAGCCAAGAGCAGGACCTGGTAGTGAGGGGCTTATATGTGGAGAGGGACATTAAAGATATTCCCAAAGAGGAGAAACATTAATAAAAAGAGTTTTTTTTCCCAAGGAAAGAGGACAAAAAAAAAAATTTCATTAGTCAAAGAATATATAATCCAACCTTACACAAATTTTTTCTAGAAGATAGTGAAAGAGAAATAGTTCTGCACTAATGTATGAGGCTTGTAAAGCCTTGATTAAAACACACAGACACAGATTAGGGCACCTTGAAAAAGGAAAACTGCATGTCAGTCTCATTCATGAATATAGATGTAAATATACTAAGCAACATATTACAAAGAAAATCCAGTGAAATTTTTAAAACATGAAAAAAAATACGTTTTTGACCAAGTTAAGTTTATTCCTGAGAAGCAAGATTGGCTTCACTTATAAGAGAGATTAATCAATTTGACCACATTAACAGATTTTTAAATAATTTAAAAAAAACTCTTAGCAAAACCTCAAGAATGCGAGAGAATTCTGCTAACCTAATAAAGGGCATCTGTGATGGTTAATTTCCTGTGTCAACACGACTAGGTTAAAGGATACACAGATAACTGGTAGAATAGGATTCCTGAGTGTGTCTGTGAGGGTGTTTCTAGAAGAGATTAGCATTTGAATTGGTGAACCGAGTGAAGCAGAAGGCCCTCACCAAAGAGGATGAACACCAGCCAATCCGGCCAGCCCTGGAATGGAACAAAAAAGCAGAGGCAGAACCAGTTCTCTGCTTGAGCTGAGATATCCATCTTCTCCTGCCCTCTGCCATTGGCACTGGGCTCTCCAGTTTATGGATTCAGATTGGGTTGTATATCAGCTCAGTCCTCAGGCCTTCAGACTTGGACTGAATTACACCACTGACTCTCCTGGTTCTCTGGTTTGCAGACAGCATACGGTGAGACTTCCCAGCCTCTGAAACCTCATGAGCAAACTCCTGAAATAAATCTCTTTTCATATATCTCCACATATATCTTGCTAGTTCTGTTTCTCTGGAGAGCCCTAATACAGCATTTATATAAAATTTTACAGCAAAGATTATACTTAATGTAAAAATGTTGAAGGTATTTGAGATCAGGTACAAGAAAAGTCTCTGTTCTCCCTACTTCTATTCAGTAGGGCACCCCTGGGGGTGCTGTGGGATATTTTTACTTTTCAAGGAAAACAGTAATACTCAACAGCTGGGTGCCATGCAAACTGTGACTTAAGGTAGTTTACAATTGAGCATTAGATTATGGTATGTTCCTTTCTGTGATATAACATCTTATCTTTGCAAAGCTATATTTTCATCACCTGTGGTAGGAAGCAGGCACTGCAGGAAAAGCAAGCTGAACCTTGCCTGATCAGCTAACCACTGACCTGCTGGCATGTGAGGGACAGGAAAAGACTATGTTTGAAACCACCAAATTTTGGGGTGTTTTGTTTTGTATCCACAGTTAAGCAACCAGCTCCCCTAAACCTGAAACCTGGGCATTACCTTTGACGCTTCCCTCTGTCAGTCCATGAGGTTCCCAGAGCTTCCTAAACACCTCCCGAATCCATCTGCTCATCTCCATCCTCTGCACCTCTGCCCTACTGCAGGCCTCCTGTAGCCACATTTTAACTGATTTCCCCTTCCTGTTGTCCCCATCCTCCACACAGCTTCTTCATATATCATCTTCCTAACATGCATATCTGATCCCTTGCCTTCCTTTCTGTGGATCTGCTTTGCCCTCAGGCTGGTGAACCAGTTAGGGCCTGGGTAGGGGACAGAGTCTTGCTGGGGCCTGTGGGCAACCTGGGCATGGCAAAGAGACATCTCCAGGGCAGTTTCTGCTTTGGCCCCAAGTCAGTGCAGGGGTTCCTTAGTAGGTCTGTTTAGGAGGCAGATTTCAAGCTTGGAGCATTACCAGCAAAGGACCAGCATCAGGCCACAGCAGCACTTCCCCCTGGGCTCCCAGGCCCCCTCTGCTACTAGGGTGCCCTTTCCGTGCTGCAGCAGGGAGGACAATGTGAGGGAGGCATCGACAACTTGGAATTAGGATTTCTGCCCTTATTCATCCTAACAGGTCAGGTCATGGATGTGCTGTCTCCTTACGGAGCAAATGGGCTCTCAGACCTCCAGTCTTCTCTGTGGCCAAAGGGAACAGGCTGTTACATGGAAAGAAAGGATGTCACCAGAACGGGGTTGGTGCCAGAGCCCATAAAGTCCCCCTTATAGGACGAGGCCGCCCTGTGAGGCAGCCTGAGAGTGCTGGCCACCTGACCTTCACAAGACATTGGTATTTTGCCTCGTGCCTTCTCACAAGGCTGCCCAGCAAATTGTCTTGTTTAGTGGTTAGACAGGCAGAGTTACAGGTCAGACTTGCTGGCTTTGGGCCCAGCTTTGCCACTGAACTTGGGACATTGGACCAAGAGAAGGATCTGGGCTCCAAACAACTCAAGTTCAGTCAGAGAGGGGTTATCAATTCATCACAAAAGTGTGAAGGGGCTCTGCTGGGCTGGGGATGTCCCTGGGATAGCTTCTCACCCCAGGAGGGTGTTGTGGAAAGCATTCAGGAAGCAGGGACAGGAAGGACACAGCCAGGTGGAATGAGGGGAAGAGACTGTATCCTCGCTCCAGAAAGAAAGGGAGCAGGGCTGATTTTGGTTCTCATCCACCTCCCCCTTGCCATGCCTGGCACCCTCTCTGCTGAGGGCATCAGGAGCTCTGATTTTACTGACAGGGGTGGGATATGGCACAAGTCAGAGCTGGGGAACCATTGGATTTGTTGGGTCAGGATCGGGCCTATTGAAACCCAGTGCCCCCCCCCTGGAGAGCGCAGTTCTCTGAGACCCCTGAGTCACCAGCATGAGTGGACAGCGGCTCCAGTACCCAAGAGACAGCCATGGAGATCTCCAGGCCCAGAGCCGCTGGAGACACAGGCAGGGACAAGCCAGCTTCAAGTTGAATCCTCTGGCCCAGGAGTCTTCCAAGGGAAACCAGGACGAGGCCTGTGAAGAGGGCATTTTTTAGTGGGATTGGAAGAGGGCTACACTGGGACACCCGTCCATCCTCCAGGTGTCCGCCCCAGGCCCGCCCACGACCCTAGGGGCGCGCCATTTCCACGGCCCGCGCCGCCCTGCCCGGGCCCCCGGCAGGCGGCGCCGCAGCGCGAGCCCTCGATGACGGTGCCGGCGAACGGCGGGGCGGGGCGGGGCGCGGGGCGGGGCGGGGCGCGGGGCGGGCCCAGCGTCCCGGGGCGTCGGAGCGCGGCGACAGTGGCGGGGCGGGAAGGACGGACGGCGCTGGGGCCGCGGCCATGGCCGAGCGCGCGCGCCACTGCTGCCTGGGCTGGGACTTCAGCACGCAGCAGGTACGAGCGGGGCGGGGCGGGGCGCGGGGCGGGCCCAGCGTCCCGGGGCGTCGGAGCGCGGCGACAGTGGCGGGGCGGGAAGGACGGACGGCGCTGGGGCCGCGGCCATGGCCGAGCGCGCGCGCCACTGCTGCCTGGGCTGGGACTTCAGCACGCAGCAGGTACGGCCCGGGCTGCGCAGCGTGCACCGCCCCGGGACACGGGGAGGGCTGGGCGCCTGCTCTCGGGCGCGCCGGGGTCTCGCGCGCCTGCCCGGGGGTGCCTGGCTGGGCCGACCGCCAGCGGTTGCTCACGACCGGCCGGTCCCGCCTCCGGAAACGGTGGGCGCCGCCCCCCAGCCGGGCCACCGCGGGTCCTGGACGCACAGGTGCCGCGGTGCTGGAGACCCGAAGGTCGGGGGCAGCCGCCGGGAGCCGAGCACACAGGCATAGCCAGTGGCCTGGAGCCAGATCCCCACGTGACACTGATTTTAACTGAAAGGGGCGCAGCGCGCCCCTGAATGTGTCCACCATGGATTGGCACCAGCACACCGGGTCAAAGTGCAGCACTGCTGGTCAGAAAACAAGCTGTGCCGCCCCCAGGGCCCCGCAGAGAGACTAGCAGAGTCAAAACTTGCCTCCAAACCGGGGCCTGGGTCCGAGGGCTTCCTACTTCAGTTGGGAAATCAACACAGTTACAGTCAAACCCTCTCCTCAAATGGGTCAGGGAGGCAGTCTGGGCCAAGCCTGACCACAAAGTCCTCGGGGACCCCTACATATCAAGTTGCCTTGCTAGACCAAAGTCTGCCCTTCTGTCCATGAAGGGAGCTGTATTCTGAGAGTGAGGTCTGCCCCGGTGCCACACTGGACCATGAACATGGCCTCTGGCAATGGCTGGGGGCCTTACCTGGTCTCCCACACCCCTGTAAACAATCTTGCCTGGTCTGCCCACACCCCTGGGCAATCTGAAACCCTACCTCCCCTTCCTTCCCTTCTGGGACTTTCTCAGGCCTCCTTGCAGGCACAGGAGCCAGTCACCTGTGAGTATCTTCTTGAGGGTCTTAGCTTTGTCTGTTTGGGGCACAAAGTTTCCAGGAGTTACAGGGGCTGTTTCTTCTTAGCCTCAGCTTCTTCGTTTGACTGAATCTTTGGGTACATCCTGAGGAGGTGTCTGTTGCCATGGTTCAAGTGATGTACACCCACCTTTCCAGAGGTTTCCAGGCTGCACCACTCCCTTGCAGGATGCCAGGCTTCCTCTTGTGATGGTTGTGCCCCTGGACCAGTGTAGAAGCAGAGACAAGTCAAAGATCATTTCAAATGCCTTCCAGGTCAAAGTTGTTGCTGTAGATGAAGAGCTGACTGTCTTCTATGAGGACAGTGTGCACTTTGACAGAGATCTCCCAGAATTTGGGTAAGTACCCTGTGTGTGTGTGTGTGTGTGTGTGTGTGTGTGTGATGTGAGTATCTTCTTGAGGGTCTTAGCTTTGTCTGTTTGGGGCACAAAGTTTCCAGGAGTTACAGGGGCTGTTTCTTCTTAGCCTCAGCTTCTTCGTTTGACTGAATCTTTGGGTACATCCTGAGGAGGTGTCTGTTGCCATGGTTCAAGTGATGTACACCCACCTTTCCAGAGGTTTCCAGGCTGCACCACTCCCTTGCAGGATGCCAGGCTTCCTCTTGTGATGGTTGTGCCCCTGGACCAGTGTAGAAGCAGAGACAAGTCAAAGATCATTTCAAATGCCTTCCAGGTCAAAGTTGTTGCTGTAGATGAAGAGCTGACTGTCTTCTATGAGGACAGTGTGCACTTTGACAGAGATCTCCCAGAATTTGGGTAAGTACCCTGTGTGTGTGTGTGTGTGTGTGTGTGTGTGTGTGCGTGCGTGCTGGGGTGGTGGGGTTGGGGGCATGGGGTCCTCCCTCGACCTTTTACACCCATATATCACACTATTCCGGCTTCATCAAACTGCAGGACTCCTGGTCTTGGTAGAGCTCTCAGCATCTTTTTTTCTGTGCCTGGAGTGAGCTCTCTTCTGTTCCTTCCCAGTTCCTTCCTTCCTTCTGTCTGTCCATCCATCCATCCATCCATCCATCCATCCATCCATCCATCCATCCATCCATCCTTTCATAAACACAGGAGGTATGAATTGACACTTACTTTGTGTCAGGCAGTGTGCTGGCTGCTGAGCTTTGACGGTGAACCAGAGACATGGTGGTCCTTGCTCTCCCAGAGCTTTCTGTTGAGGGTAGGGGAGAATGATATCAATCAAGGAATCTCAAATTCAGGAAGGTCTTTGAAGGACAGGTACTCACTTCTCCAAGTGCTCATTATAAAGGAATGTGACCCAGAACTGGAAGGAGGGGTCTGGGAGAGTCTCTAAGGAAGTTTCTCCAAGATCTGAGTGAGTGGAGTTAGCAGGTGATGGAAAGGAGGGAACTTTCCAGGCAGAAGGAATAGCATATGCAAAGGCCCTGTGGCAAGAAAGAGCATTGCTCATTCATGGAATGGAAGTGGCAGCATGCCACTGTGGCTGAGGAGCAGAGACAGAGGCTGGGCCGGGCCACATAAGCATAGTGCAGAGTTTGTCTTCATCCTAAAAGCTGTGGTCAGCCACTGATGGGCCATAGGGATGGGGTGAAGTGTGACATGATTGTGTTTGTGTTTTTAAACTTCACTCTACCTGGTGTAGAGTAAATGGGGGTTGTCCAGAGGGCATGTGGGGAAACCATTGGAGAGGATTTTCAAGATCATCTGAATGAGAAATGTCGGTGTCTTGGAGTAGAGATGGCTGGGTGGTAAAATTGACAGGTCTTGGTACAGAACTGAACATAAGACATGAATGTGAGGTTTCTGGCTGGCCTTTGGGATGGGTGGTAGACTGTGGGGAGAAACATCATGAGTTTAGCTGCTGTGTTAGTTTGGTAGGGCTGCAAGAAGTAATGCCACGGACTGGGCAGTTAAACAACAGGACTGTATTTTTCCCCAGTTCTGGGGCCTAGAAGCCCAAGATGAAGCCGCTGGCAGGGTGTGTCTGCTGAGGCCTCCTTGGTTTGCGGATGGCCATCTTCCTGCTGCCTCTCATGTGTTCATCCCTCCGTGCGCGTGTGCCCCTGGTCATGTTATCTGTGTCCTAGTCTCCTTCGGTAAGGACACCAGTCATACTGGATTGCGGTCTACACTAAGGACCTTGTTGTAACCTAATTGCTACTTTGAAGGCCCTGTTTCCAAAAACAGTTACTTGCTGAAGTATTGGGGCGTGGGCTTCAGCATATGGATCTGGGGAGACACAATTCAGTCCATAAAAGTGTGGGCTTCTTGATTTTGAGTGGCTCCTAGAGGTCCTGATGCAGGTATCCCTCATTGTCTGTTTTAGATTTCACTTCCTCCTTGAAGCTTTCACTTGGTCACCACTCACTGCCCATCACATGTTGCCATCTTTCCCTAGCTGATGTGCCTCCTTTGAGATGAGGTTGGAAGCCATCTTGCTTTCATATTTTATATTATGCAGGCCACATATGTGAGGTTTGTAGTTTGTGTCTTTCAAGAAATTGGTCCATTTCATCTAAGCTATCAAATTTGTGGCATAAAGTTGTTCACGTTTCTTTATTGTTCTTTGATATCTGTGGGGTCTGTAGTTGAGAGGTTTATCAATTTTATTGATCTTTTCAACTTTTGGTTTTGTTGATTTTTTTGATTTTCCTCTTGTCATTTTCATTGACATGGGCTCTAAGTTTTATTATTTCTTTTCTTCTGTTTGCTTTAAGCTTAGAGTGCTCTTTCTCTAGTTTCCTGAAGTAGAAGCTTAGATGATTGACTTTAGCTCTTCTGTTCTAATATATGCATTTTAATGCTATAGGTTTGCCTCTATGCACTGCTTTTGCTGCATCCCACACATTTTGATAAGTTGTATTTTCATTCTCATTTAGTTCAAAATACTTTTCAGTTTCTCTTTAAACTTTGATTCATATGTTATTTAGAAGTATATTGCTTAATCTCCAGCTCTTCTTGCCATCTTTCTGCTGTTGATCTCTGGTTTAATTCCACTGTGGTCTGAGACCATATTTCATATGGTTTCTGTTCTTTAAAAATTTTTAAATCCTTCTCCATGTTCCTTTCAGTGAGTCAGTGCTCTCCAGGAGAGATCTTGGGAAAAAGATATATAATCATAACCATGAGTATTGCTTCTTTACTCAGTTACATTTTAAAAATATTTTAAACTAGATTCATACAGATCCAGTTCTTTCTTCTCCCACCACCAGATCACTTCCTGGTTTGGGTTTTGTTTTTGTTTTTACTGTTTTATTGAGGTTATTGTTGATGTGCAATAAACTGCACATACATAAAGTATACAGCTTGATAACTTTTGATATATGTGTTCCTTCATGAATCTAAAATCAATATAATGGTCATTTCCATCCCCCAAAAGTTTTCTCATGCCACTTTGCAATGCATCCCTCTTCCCTAGCCACAACTTCTGGCAACTACTGAAATGTTTCTATCATTAGAGATTAGTTGACACTTTCTAGAACCTTATATAAAGGGAATCATAATTATATACTGTTTTTTATCTGATTTTTTAAAACTCGATATAATCATTTTGTGAATCATCCATGTTGTTATATGTATCAGGAATTTATTCTTTTTATTATTCAATAGTATTCCATTCTGTGAGTGGACCACAGTTGGTTTATCCATTCACCTGATGAGGGACATTTGAGCTGTCTCTAATTTTTTATTATGATAAATAAAGAGGCTATGAAATTCACATACAAATCTTGGTATTGATATAAGCTTTCATTTCTCTTGGAAATGAAATACCCAGAAATGGCTAAGTTGTATGGCTAGTTATGTTTAAACTTTAAAAGAAAGTGCCAAATTCTTTTCCAAAGTAGTTACCTTAATAAAAATATTTTGTTAATAGCCATTGCATGTGTTTGGTACATAATTCAAAAGAAACAAAAGGCATATAGTGAGAAGTCTTAATCCTTCTGTGATCTCATCTCTTCCCTCCTGCCCTCCTTGACAGATAACTTTTCTAGTTTTTTTCTGTATCCTTCCAGTGTTTTATATCAAAGTATAAGCAGACATGAGTTTTCTCATGTTCTCCCTTTCTTATGCACACAAAACATAGTGTACACACCACTCTGTACTTTGCTTTTTTATTTCACAATGACTTGGCTATGTTTCCATGTCAGAGCATAGAGTTCTATGTTCTTTTTCTAGATATTCCTTATGTATTCCATTGTGTAGATGTACCATCTCTTATTGAGGGGATTTTGCAATGAAAAATGACATAGTGCATTACCTTCTCCATGCCATTATACACACATGCTGGTTTATCTGTAGCATAAGATTTTGGAAATGGGATTGCTGGGTCAAAGAGCAAATAGATTTATAATTTTGGAAGATGTGGCCAAATTGCCTCCCGTGGGCACTGGGTTGGCTTACACCCTCCAGCAGTACATGAGTGTGCCCGTTTCCACTGGCCATGTTCTCCCTGTAGATTTTACTTTCCTTTCTCTTACCACAAGCAAATTTGACTACCTTTTCATTTGTTGAAGGGCTACTAGATTTTTTTTTTTTTTCTGTGAAGTTTTGTTTCATGTTCTTTGCCCATTTTTCTTCTGGATTGGTTATCAAGTTTTTACCAATTTCTGGGAGCTCTTCATACATTAGGGGAATTGTCTCTGTTGTTAAATGGATTGCAAATATGTTTCTCACATGTTGATTTGTTTTTGACTTGTGTGTGGGTGGCGATTGTTGCCACAGGTAGGTTTTATGTTTTATACCATTGAGTTTCTCAGTCTCTTGTGTTATTGCTTCTGGATTTTTGGGTCATAGTTTAAAGGGACTTCTTCACTCCAAGATTATAAAGGAATTTACTTATGTTTTCATCTAGTTCTCATAGGATTTCAGATTTCTTATGTAAAAATATTTGGAGCTTACCTAGGTACACAAATGACATGTATATCCAACTTTAGTTTTTTCCAGATGATTCTCTAATTGTTTTAACACCATTTTTTTTAGAAGTCCATCTCTACCTCACTGATTTGAGATGGCAGCTTTATCATATGCTAAATTTCTGTGTATGTTTAGGTCTATTTCTGGGCATTCTCTTTTGTTCCATTGGTTGGCGAGTCTGTTCATGAACCAGTAACACATTGTTTTAATTATTCCAGCTTGATAATATGATTTAATATCTGGAATTGTCAGTCCTCTCTGATTGTCCTTCATTTTCAGTGTCCATGGCTTTTTCTTTCTTGTTCTTTTTCAATGTGTACTTTAGAATCAGCTTTTAATATTCCAGAAAGCACAATTGCTAATATTTTAATTGAGATCATATTACATTTATAAATTAACTTGGACAAAATTGACAAATTTATAAGATTAGTCTTCCTGTCAAAGTATATGTTATGTTTTTACATTTGTTCCAAGTCTTCTTTTGAGAATGACATTTGTATTTTAGTATGTTTGACATACGGATTTTGCACATTGTGACGTATTTTTTAAATGACTGTAATTCTCTACCCCTCCCTGTACTCATGCCTTTTGCGAAGCGACTTTGCAGCTCCCTCCATCAAGAGATGGAGTCATTTCTGACCTGTTCATTTTAACCCATAGAAAGTGGGGATATAGCATCATGCCAGGTCTACACCTGATCCTCCAGAGGCCTTGCTTGCTTCCGCTCTGATTCTTGGAGCCCTGCACAGCCACCACATGACCAGCCTCAGGTTAGCCTGCTGGAGGAGAGACATGTGGCCTGCTTGCCCGCGTATCCCCACCTAGGAGAGCAGACACAGACCTCAGAAGCAGAGCTCTCTACCTACTGTTAGACCACCATGCATGAGAGCCCGGCTGAGACTAGAAGAACCACTCAGCTGAGCCCAGTTCAGTGACTGACCAACAGAGTTGTGAGTTAAATGAGCTTAGTGATTTCAGGTCTCTATGTTTTGAAGTGGTTTGTAACAAGACAAAAACTACCTGGTGCATGTAATTATTTTTAAGCTTATTTCTAACTTAAAAAAATCATTTTGCTACTATAAATGGGGGTTTTGTAGTAGGGACCAACCATGTGTCCTCCAAACCCATTTCTTTCCCCTCCTGGGCACACTGCTGTCCTCCTTGTGGTTTTGTTCAACTATGTGACTGGGTTCTAAGCAGCAGAATATGGGAGAAAGTGAACAGACCTCTTTCAGACCTCATCCATACAGACCTCCTTGCCATCCTTTGCCCTGTCTCTTCCTCTGTCCTGTGGCTCGATGTGAGTGTCCAGAACAGCCTTGGAAGCCCCTTGGAAGATGACAGAGCCACCATCCTCCTGGGCCCCTGAAAATCTCCATGGAGCAGAGCCCCCCACACCCATTCCTGGTCCCGACTGCCCTACTGATTATGCTTTAGACGAGTGAGAAATAAAATTCAACTGTGTCGAGCCATGGAAATTTTGCTTTTCCTTAGTTAATATGGGTTTCCCCCTACTATTGAATCTTTAAAAAAGAAAAACAGCTCTATTGAGATATAATTTGCATACCATAAGAATTTACTCTTTTGAAAGTACACGTCAGTGGTTTTTAGTATATTCTCTTGTGTAACCATCATCACTATGTAAATGTATAGTATTTTCATCACCTTAGAAAGAAATCCCGTATCCAATAGCAGCCACTCCCCATTCCCCATGCCCCAGCCCTGGCATCCAGTCTACTCTGTCTCCATGAATTTGCCTATTCTGGAAGTTTCATATAAATAAATATATGTAATATGTGGTATTTTTTGACATTTGCATGTCTTAAAAGTTTATCCATATCATAGCTTGTATCAGAACTTCATTCTTTTTTGTAATAAACTCAGTAATATCTGTTGTATGGCTAACCCCACGTTCTGTTCATCCACACATCAGGAATGGATATTTTGGTTGTTCCACTTTTTGGCTATTATGAATAATCCTGCTGTGAACATTCACATGTGTTATAGACAGAAACATGTCTCCCTAAAAAATCACATATGTGGTCCCATTGGGTCTATGCCCAGGAGTGGAATTGATGGGTAGTATGGTAACTCTGTGTTCAACATTTTGAGGAACTGACAAACTTTTCCAAAGCAGCTATACCATTTTATATATCCACCAGTGGTGTGAAGGTTCCCATTTCCCCAAGTCCTTGCCAACATTTGTTTTTTACTGTCTTTCTGTTTATAGATTATAGCCTTCCTGTTAGACATGAAGTGATATTTCATTGTGGTTTTGATTTGCATCCTTCCAGTGACTAATGATGTTGAATATCTTTGGCCATTTGTATATCTTCTTGGGAGAAAGGGCTACTTGGATCCTTTGCCCATTTTTAAAAGGTGCTATTGGTCTTTCAATTATTGAGCTGCAAAACTTCTTTATATATTCTGTATTTAAGTCTCTTACCAGATATATAATTTCAAAACATTTCTTCCATTCTGTGGGTTGTCTTTTCATTTCTTGATGATCCTTTGAAACAAAAGTTTTTCATTTGGATAAAGTCAGATTAGTCTATTTTTTCCTCTGTTGCTTGCACTTTTGGTACAGTATTTGTTAGGTTTTAGTGTTAATTTTATATTTACTTCATGAAAAGATTTCCTTCTTTGAGGTGCTTGGAAACAATTTAAATAGTATTAAAAATGTTTGCCCTTTAAAGGTTTGGTAGAATTTCTCTGTGAAACATTTGGGCCTGGAACCTTTAGGAGTACAGTGTAGTTCTAGTCTTCCTTCTTAGCAGGAATTGCCAATTTTTAGTTGTTAAATACATGGTGGAATGTACAGTTGCAGTTTCCACCTGTTTTGTGAATGTAACATTTTTTCTGGTGAGTTTTTACTGTCTAGAGGAAAGCTGGTGGTTATTATTCACCTTTTTCCTAATGGTATCTTTAAAAAAAATCAGTATATGTAATACACTGTAAAACATTATATTTTAATATAATTTATTAGTTAAAATTTAATTTTAATATAATTTCTAATATACTGTAACAATACTCAGGTACAAAAAGAGACATCCATTAAAATGTGCAGTTCAGTGCATTTCGACAGAGGCAGATCACTACCCGTGCAACTACCACCACAGTCAGGATGCAGAGTGTTGATGTCGCCCCCAAAAGATTGTGTGCCCCTTTGCAGGGCCTCCCGTCCTCCCCACTGGGCTCGGGAAACTACAGATCTGCTTTGTCACAGCAGGTGGACTTGTGCTTTCTAGCCTGTCAGATAAACGGAATCAAGGACCATCTGGTCTTTTGTGTCTGGCTTCCCTCACATGGCACGGCCGTGTTGGTGTCTGCATCAGTAGTTCCTTTATGTCTTAGAGTGCTCTGTATCGCTGCATGACATGTATACCACAGTTTGCCTGTTCACCTGCTTAGGGACACCTGGGATGACTCCAGGTTTCTATTATGACAGATAGGGCTGCTATGGATATTTGCATCCAGAGCCTTCTGTGGGCTTGTGCGTCCATTTCTTTGGGCTGGATACTTAGGAATAGAATGGTTGGATGGTTTTCTGGTAGTATCTTGGTGTGAATTCTGAGCCTGTGTTTTTAAACCTCATAATTGAAAGGGTTGGATTTTGTCAAATCAGCTGTTTGCACAAGGGTCTTACAAGGGTGAGGAGGGTAGAGAGAGGGGTCCAGGTAACCCTCCAGGCTTGCAATCCAAGGACATCCTCGTCTGATAGCACTTCTGTGAACCATGCCTTTTCCGCCTGTCCAAACCCAGTGGGTCTGGGAGGGCTCTCAGTGCAGCCCTGCACTCCCACAGTTCCCTCAGGGCCACTGCCTGCCCTCCAGGCTGGGCTCGAGTGTTTGGAAGGGTAGTTTTTGCTGGGGCTTCCTGAGAACTGCCACCTCTGGGCAATGCCCAGGCCGTCCTTTCCGTCTTGCCCAGCACTGTTAGTCCTGTTCAGTCTAGAGTTCCCACTTGAGGTGGGGGGAGGCAGTGTGTGGCTTTCCACTGGGGGTATCCAGGATCTGCTCCTGCTGGGTCCTGCCTGAGGTTCTGTCCCACATTCTCTCTGTTCTCCTTCTAGGACTCAGGGAGGGGTTCATGTTCACGAGGATGGGCTGACAGTGACTTCTCCAGTCCTGATGTGGGTCCAGGTGAGCACAGGGATCCTGTTCCTCTCCTGTCCCCAGCCTGTCTCACCGGCAGACTTGGCAATTTTCTCGGAAGTCCAAAGGTGGCAGCTTATGAGAGCATCTGTTGGCACCAGGTCCTCATGGGGAAATGGTTCCTAGGGCCTCACTCAGCCTCAGCCGGTGTCATTGTTCCTGAGCTGAGAGGAATCACAGCTGGCTTTCAGGTTCTGGAGCCATAGTGCTGGGATGTCCTGCAGGGACCAGCTTTAGAATAGCACAGTGCAGACCTTTCCCAAATACTCTACAGTCAGGCACTATGGCCACCCTTGCACCCTGAGAACCAAACACAGCCCTTTAGGTTTGGGGCTCAGCCCCAAGTCCCCTTGGCTCCCAGAGCAGGGGCACTCAGAATGGTGGCTTATGACCTGACCAGTCAGGATCAGATTAACCACAAGCCAAGCCTACCTGCTCAGGACCCACAAGAAAGGAAGAGGCCTGCTGCCAAATCTGGATGGCCTGTGGGACCCCCAAACTGGGGCTGTGGGCAGCACAGACAGGCATGACAGGACTGGGGGCTGCCTGATACCCCAGGGGACTTGAGACCCTGAACTGGAGGCCAGGTGCCAGAAGCTTTTTCAGCTCTCTGATAGCTGTTTAACCAATCCGCTGTACTAAATTCTTTCTGTTAAGATAACTGGTGTGATTTCTTTTATCAGCCTGACCCTGACTCATCCTGGAGTTTTCACCAGACAGGCTGAAGGGATGTGTTCTTCAGAGGCTGAGCCAGACCAAGGAGCAGTGGGGGTGGGGGTGATATGCAGGAGTTGGTGGGTGAGGTCCCACTGATGAAGCCAAGGGCTTCTGATGGGCACGGCCTTAACTTGGGGAGGTGTATCAGTGGTAGAGGGCTAGGCTTGGGGCTGGTGCCAGGGTGACTTCTAATCTTGAGCGATACCTCCCAACCACACACCCTCACCCCAGACTGGACCTATTACAGCTGTACCCCATCCTCTGCCAAGGTTTGGCAAGCAGGGCCAAGTCAGCAGCCATGGGGGTGCTGTGAAAGGATCTCTCCCAGCATAGGGTGGGGATGGCGTGGTCAGGCCAAAGCTCCAGTGGGAAACACAGCCTGGGGTGAATCTCTGATTGCTCCTGAGAAATCTTGGGGGAAGTGTCATGCTCTACCGGGCTGTGCCATCCATCTCACCAATGGGGTCATGCCAGAAGGATGATTCTAAACAGACAGTGGATGGCGGAATGGGGGATTGGGACAAATGGCCACCATGGCCATTTACTCCCCCAGCATTGCACTCCTGGACAGGGGGTCTGGGCACAGAGCCCTGTCCTGGTGGGAGCCCTCTGTCAGCTCTTCATTTCTCCTTTGCAGTGAAGTCATGTTACTAACATGGTGGGTTGAAAATGCAAATAAAAGAAACCAGAATTTGAGCCAGTTTGGTTTTGCTATTCCTGAATGCTTGGAAGTCAAAAACCAGAAAAGCAATATTTGAAATTGAGTGGTTTATGATTTAACCCCTTAAATTAAAGTTTAAGGTGCCCCCTTGTTAATTAAGATGTTCTGGTCATCAGATCTCCTCGGTGTGACAAGCACTGCCATCTCTACTGGGAGGCCTGTGCTTGCTGACTCAGTGGTTCAGAGCAGTCGCATGCACTCTGCTTTCCTCCTCAGGCCTTGGACATCCTCTTGGAGAAGATGAAGGCTTCAGGCTTTGACTTCTCTCAAGTCCTCTCCATGTCCGGGGCCGGCCAGGTTTGTTTGCCGTAGGCCCTGTCCACCGGGCGGTGGTGGCTGCTGGGTGGTGTGGGGTGACAGCTCCCAAGGGGAGGTGCTCAGTGCCCAGAGCCACTGCACATGTGCTGCTAATAACTGCCTTCACAGCCGTTTTACCTTGGAAGGAGTGCAGCCTGCTTCCTGCTAAAGGACCTGGGACAGTCCTTAGGATTAAGCATTATATAAACTAGGACACTGGGTGACAAGGAGCTGGATTGGGATCCCCTGGGGAGCTGGAGGAAGCATTTGGCATGAGTTTATTAGCACTGTCCAGGGACACTAAAATTGCTTTTTGTTGGAAATAAAAGCAAAGTGGGAAATTATGCAGATTAGCGAAGGAGGTTTAGAGTAGAGATACTGGTAGTAATGAGAACACCGTCGATAGAGCACTGACAGCGTGCAGGTGCCCTGCCCAGCCATTCACATGCCGTCTGCTGACCGTCAGAGCGACTTTACAATGGAATCCTGGAGGGTTAGCACAGGGGCCCGACCACTCTGCCTGGTCCCGTCCCCAGCTCTGCTGTTTGCACACGACGACATCCAGCTTCCTGCCTTCGTATTCTCATCTGCCTTAGGGTCTCTGTGAATGTTAAATACATGGAACGGTGCACAAAGACTATTCGAGTTTTAGAAACTGTTTTTATTATGATTGACATTTACATGGGGAACTGAGACGCAGAGAGGTGACTTGCCCAGGGTCACACACCTGCCAGGAGGAGTCAGGCTGCAGGTCCCGTTTCATCCTCTGAATCACCTTGTTTCATGCTGACTGGCTTATTTTCACGTTCTTGGCAGAGAGCACGGGCTAACTTCTTCAGCTGCCTCTTCTTCCTGCAGACCTAACAGGAATGTGCTGCTCCTGTCCTTGTTAAACTGGACAGACGCCCTTACGGTCTAGTCCCTCTCTTGCCTGACCCGCCGGCCTGGGCCCTCTCCCTCCCAGGCAGGGCCCACCCCGTGGCTGGGTGTCCCAGAAACCTAGGTCTCAAGTCTGGGATGGAGCACCCCAGGCCCCTCCTCCTCCTGTTCCCTTCTTGGGGAGTTCTCCTTATCCAGCTAGACCACACCCAAGTGGCAGCCTGACTCCTCCGTCTGCCCACTCCCCCATCCAGGGGGTCCCCGTGTCCTATGGATTAGCACATAACTCGCTTCTACCACCTCTTCTCCTACTCTGCCTCTGTTGCCCCAGGCCTAATACCCGCAGTTTTTCTCCGGGTCTCTGCTTTGGCATCCCTGCCCTCGTAACTCCCACAAACTCTTTATATTCAGCCTGGCTCTCATACACCCAGGGTTCTCCCCACCTCCAAGATAAACCCCAACCCCCAAGCACGATGTCAGGGTGTTGGTGCTCAGGCCTCCTCCCCACCGGCCCTGCCACTTGCAACCCCAGCTCGGCTTCTGTTTAGGCTGCCTTCCCCACACCCGTCAGGCTCTCTCACCTGTGGTTATTCTGCATGAAGAAGCCACACACTCAACCCTGGCGTCCTGTCCTCATAATCACGTCCACTTCTACCCGATTGTAACCAGCTGTTCAGGTACCCTTCTGTGGGCCCACTTCCCTGCCACGTCACTTCCGTAGGGCTTTGGAGTTGTACATTTGTGTTTTTCTCCCCGAGTCAACTCCAATATCCTGCAGAAGAGGGATAGTGTTATCCTGTCCATCTGTCCCATCCTGGCATGATTTAGGTGCTCAATAAATGTTGAATGAATGAATGAATTTCAGATAATATTAAGAGCAATATATTCAAATACAGTTTTACAAAGGCACCAAAAATGAGACCACTAATTCTCTCTTGAACCTCCCTGCAAATTTTGGGGTGGACAGGGCAGAGTTCCTCCCCACTTTATGGAAATGGAAACCACATCTTGTAAAGGTGAGCAGCTCTGTGACTAAGGGGCAGAGCAGGCATGGAGCCCAGTCCTCGGCATGTGGCCCGGGGTCCTTCTGCATCTCCAGGAGTCTGAAATGCTGGTCGGTGTGCGGCTGTGTGAATGGGTTTCCCTTCACAGCAACACGGAAGTGTGTACTGGAAGGTTGGGGCCAGCCAGGTGCTGACAAACCTGTCACCAGACCTACCGTTACACGAGCAGCTGCAGGTAATGTGGCCATTTTGTGGGGGTCTGAATAACTCTGGAGAGGGGAGGGGGCCCTGAGCCTGGGGCTTTTGTGCATTGTTGCGGGTGTAGGCAGGTGGCTCGGACAGCAGTCCCATGACATGGTCTGCCCTGGCTCCCTGCTATGGCCACACCTGGTATCTTCACTGGGGGTCAGGTGCCAGGTCCCCTTCACCACACAGGTCCCCTCCAGCCCACGTGGCTCTGGCTCGTCCCTCTCAGGCACCTCCCCCTGTGACATGATGGCTCCTGATGGTGCTGGGAAGGGAGGCCTGGCTTCTCCCTGCCTCCCAGCTTCAAGTGCCCTGGTAAAGCTGTCTTACTGTAGCCTGAGCCCTCCCTGCCCTCTCTAATGGTGCCCACAGAGCTCCCCAGAACCTCCCGCTTCCAACTTTCAGGGGAGACCCCCGCCCCAGGCAGGCTGAGGTCTGGGCGGGAAGGGCTTGCCCACAGGTCTCCCAGGTCACCCTCGGGGGAGACAGGCAGCCACCTGCTGTGAGGGGCAGTGTGTCCACCAGCTCAGGTACGCCCAGGTCAGTGGGGGGCTCCAGCTGTGTGCCCTTCTCTCCAGGCCTGTTTCTCCATCAGCGACTGCCCGGTGTGGATGGACTCCAGCACCACAGCCCAGTGCCGCCAGCTGGAGGCTGCCGTGGGTGGGGCCCAGGCTCTCAGCTGCCTCACCGGCTCTCGGGCCTACGAGGTGGGCAGTGCCAGCCACTGGGCACTAGGGCTGGTCCTGGGAGGAAGGTCCAGCTGCTGGCTCAGGGCCCTTCCCCCTGGGTGTCTGGGAGGACAGTGGGTGACCTGCTCCATGGGGTTCACTGAGGCCATGTGGAGCCAGGCCTGGGCGCCAAGGCTGTCAGGCCCCTCTGAGCTTCTGGGAGCAGGGGCAGGCCTCCTGTTTGGGTTCCAGGTCACCGCTGACAGTGACATGGCCATACTCCTCATGTCAAATGCTGTGTGCAGGGCTGGTGGTGGCACCTCGGTGCCTGCATCTGTGATGGGATTAAACTAGCACTCACAGTTGGGGCAGTTTTGAAGCTGAAAGGAGTCTGTGCATGTAAGACACTTACTGCAGCTCCTGGAGAAGTAAAAAAGTTAAAGAGAGTGCATCTTCCCACTGGCTTCAGCCACAGTCCCAGGTGGCTGCAGTTTTCCCAGCTTGGGTCATGCACCCCACCTGAAGCAAGAAAAACATGAGGAGGGCCGAATACACGCATCCCCTGCCCAAGCCGTTGGTCAGCACAGTTCTGTGGGGCCGGAAGGCTGGCTGAGCGAGGGGCCCCTGCAGGCAGCAAACCTCCTGGATTCACGGCCTTCTCAAAGCTTCTGTTGTGCTAGCTGATACTCAGAGACACTGCACTGACCCCACTTTACAGAGTCGTCATTCCACAGAAGATTGGAGTTTTTATGAATTTGCACTTTTTTTCCAGCGATTTACAGGAAACCAGATTGCAAAGATTTACCAGCAGAACCCTGAGGCCTATGCACACACGGAGGTTGGTCAAACGTTTCTATTAGGTTGGAAATCACAGTTGAATTCCTTCTGTAATACTTACCTTTAGCATAAATATATCTCTTGAGCACTGGCTAAAAACATTGATTAATAGACATTAAAAATAATAATGAATGACAGCAAATGAGTGTGCTTCTTATCATCAGGCTCTTTCTAAAGAGGAAGGAAAGAGTGGAATCATGGGGTAGAGAAGTCATGGCCTCATCAGAGTACTGGAGGGAGCGCTGGGGAGCTGGGTGCCCTTTAGGTTCTGTTCTGCCCTCTCAGTTTCCAGTGTGGCTAGTACAGGGTGGCCACCAGGCACTCAATTGGCATGGGGTTACTGTTTTCTTAGGAAATTGGTAAGCCTGGACCAGTGTGCCCTCAGCTGGGCCCTTCAACCAGAGCCTGTGTCCAGGAACCCAGATCCATTCCCTCAATCCACAGCTGCTAAAAGCCAGTGCTTAATGCTGCCTGAGAAGCAGCTCAACCCTGTGGCTAGTGATTTTCATCTCTGAGTAATTAGAAAATGATCAGCTTGTGTTTAGCCTAAGTACTTCTTTAATCTTGGAAGTTAACATCCAGTTTATTATTTTATGATTCAAGGTTCCAGATTACTCTGCAGCATAAGGCTTGTAGGCTTTGGAGGGAAGGGGTGGAGATGCAAAACCCTCTCCATGTTCTCTGTGTGGAACAAAGGTGGGGGACAGGTGGTGTTGGCATTCCCTGCCCTGGTCCAAGGGCCCGTGATGCCCACATAGAAGCGCAAACCAAAATCCAGCATCAGTCCCTCTGGTTCATGGCTGGGGTCTGTGGCTTCCCAGGGTCCAGCTCTCACTTACACTCACTCTGAACCCCTAAGTGTCTTTGTCAGTTCTGAGTCCTGTGGTCACACATCCCGCTTCCCTTGTGACTAGATCCAAAGACCACAGAAGTGGAGGCTGTAAACCAGGGCCCACACTCCCTGGATCCCAGGTGGAAAACCCACTTTCCGGAGCATGCATGGCTTTTTCATGTTGTCTTTTGTCTTTGTTGAACTTGACAGTTTTAACTGCAGAGTTGGATGCTTACCTGAGGAGCTTGTTCTTGGTTCCCAGCTACTCAAAATGCTCTTATTTGGGGCACTCAGTCGCTACCATTACTGGGGCAGCTTGCTCAAAGTTGCATTCCCTCCCCAGTTTAGGACTCTTCTTGGGAGTGTGTCAGAAGTTCCCAGCTGCTAAGGGAAGTGCATTTTATCTCACTGTTCCTTTCTTTTGCAGAGAATTTCTTTGGTCAGTAGTTTTGCTGCTTCCTTATTCCTTGGGTCTTACTCCCCTATTGACTACAGCGATGGTAAGCTGCCAGGGTCCAGGGTGAGCGCCCGTCGGGGCATGCAGGTGTGGGGGTGTCGGGTGTGAGCCTCAGCCCCTACGGTGGGCCCCAGCCTTTCAGCCCTCTCTCCCATTGCCAGGGGTGTATCAGTCATCTTGCTGTGCAGCAAATGACCCCAGCACTTAGCAGCTGAAGACCGCAAATGTTTATTATCTCACAAAGTTTCTGAAAGCCAATTTTCTGGGGGCAGCTTAGTGGGGTGATTTCGGCTCCGGAGCTCTCATGTGGCAGTGTTTGAGTGGGCACCCAGGACCCAGCCATCTAAAGGCTTGACTGGAGCTAGATCACTTCCAGGGCTACGCACATGACCGTGGGCCAGAGGCCTGAGTTCCCCACAATGTGGGCCTCTTGTAGGATGATTAATACCATTGTGGCTGGAGTCCCCCAGGCAAGGGTTGAGAGGAAGAGAGAGGCCGAGTAGAGTCTTTACACCCAAATCTTGGAAGTGACATACAGCACTTCTGCCCGTCCTGCTGGCGGCACACACCTCCCCAGGGGCAAGTAGAGGGGCCCCCACGGAGTCAACACCAGGACTCGGGGATGAGCCTGGCTCCCACAAGGAGTTATGTAAGTTGTTGTTTATGTTGGGGGACCTCATGAGAGTGGGGAGCTTCTGCAATCAGAACCCTGAAAAAATAATGCAGGTGATGCCAATGCAGAGAGGAACCTGGGAGGAGGTAGCAAGGGAGCACATAGACGGGGCCAGCCTAAAGGATGGACAGGAGAGGGGAGAAGCCGAGCAAGACCCTGACCCATGCAAGTGCCTTCCGGAGAACCTGGGCTGCACAGAGGCTCCTGGGGACTCATCTGAAGTTGTTGAGGACTGTGTGGGCTATTCTAGTTTGTAGGGAGAGAGAGTAAGGTGACTAAGGGGGGTCCCCAAGCCTCCCTTGAATCTGGAGAAGAAAGAGTTTCTACCACTAGCTGTCTGGAGCCCCCCCAGCAGACCCTAAACCTGTGTCCACATATGTCCACTCCTCCTGGTACTGTGGAGAGCTGCGCGGGGAGTCACATTGCCATTGTTCAGGAGGCGTCCCAGCCAGGTCCTCGCTGCGCCCCTCACCCTTACCTTAGAAGTTACCTCCCAGTTCACCGGCTGTCCACCTCCTCCTGGGGCCCAGCCATCCGTCAGTGTCCCAGCCGCCTGTCTCCCAGCTGCCCAGGCCAGTGGAGCAGGAGAGTCCTGCCCCTGGGCTCTGGGTTCTCTCCCCTCCCCATCCTCAGGAAAGCCCTGGGAGAAGTAGATTGTTTTAGAAAACTGAGCTGATCCCAGTGACGTGGAGGAAGTTTGGAGGAGTCTGAGGGCTGTCTTGGGGTTGGCCGTGACTGGGAGGCCCTGAGGGTGGACCTACCCTGGTGCCAGCGGGCACTTGACCCCTGGGGGACACGTTGCTGGCAGTCCCCATACCCTGTTGGCCTGGCAGCAGCACATTTCCAGGCTGAGGGGACTATTTGGAGAAAGTGGGGTTGGCAGGCCTCTGGTTCTCTGGTCCAGGATGACTGTGTGCAGCATACAAACCTTGGGGGAAGGGCTTGGGCGCAAGTGTGCTGTGAGAGGGTGCCCACTCCCTGTGGGTGGGCCACTTTTACTAAAGGCCCTTTATGAAGATATATTTTTTTTTGTTTCCTTAGGTTCTGGAATGAATCTGTTGCAGATCCAGGACAAAGTCTGGTCGCAGGCTTGCCTTGGTGCCTGTGCACCTCAGCTGGAGGGGAAGCTCGGCCCCCTGGTGCCCTCCTGCTCATGTGTGGTAGGTCCCCTTCCCCAGTGTGGGCCCGCTCAGAGCTGGCAGCTCCTGGGGAGCAGTGCACGCATGCACACACACACACACACACACACACACACCTACTCTCATATTCACACACTCATGCTCACACACACACACTCAAAGTCAGACACACAGTCATACCACACACTCAGCACACATACACTCTCACACCACAACTCCCACACTCCCACACACTCCCAGACTCACATACACTCACACCTGCATGCGTACTCACTCCCCCAACACTCATTCATTTACACATAGGTGTGCACAATGACATTTTCAATCTGTGGAAGACAAGTACTTGATATGAGTCAAAGCGAATGTCTGGATCGGTGCCTTGCACTTAGTAGGTGCTCAGGGTATGTATAGATTACTGCGGTAGGGCAGCGGAGACAGGTGGGGGACTTTGGAAGATTCCACTGGAAATTTATTAGAATAGGAAAGAAAATTGAAGGCAGAAGCCCCCAGGTGATTGCACACCGTGGGAAACATTGAAATTCCAGGACTAGGGACACCACTGAAGCTTGAAGCAGGCAGCTTGGAGAAAACAGAAAGAAATCTGACGCAGCTGGGGGGCAGGGGGCACAGGCCCCAGTGCCAGACTTCCTGGTACGGAATCCCGTCTCTGCCACTTCCCTCTGCACTTCAGCCTCCTCATCACCCCGTTGTTCCGGGAACAGTGGGAAGTCTGATGATTGCTCTCTCATCTGGCTGTTGTGCACAATAAATGAGCTGATACAGTGAAGTGCTTGAGAGCGTGCCTGGTCCCAAGAGTAATATTAAAACATTCAGGACAGACACATGCAAAAGAATGAGACTGAACCACTGCCTTACACTTACTCAGAACAGATGAAAGGCCTGAACGGAGGATGTGAAACCAAGAAACTTAGAAGGAAACAGGTGGTTAGCTCCTTGACATCAGTCTTGGTGATGATTTTTTGGCTTTGACCCCAAAGGCAACAAAAGTAAAAGGAAACAAGCGGGACTCCTTCAAACTAAAAAGCTTCTGCATAACACAAGATACTGTCAACAAAATGAAAAGGCAAGCCACCAAATGGGAGACGATATTTGCAGATCATGTATCTGGTAAGGGGCTAACATCCAAAACAGATGAAGAACTCCATAACAAAACACTAAGCAATCCAATTAAAAATGTTTAACCATCAGTTGGCACCCTTATTCAGAACAGACACTGGCTGTGAACACTGCTTTCCTCTAGGTGGCCAGCTGAGTTCTCGCTGTTCTGTGGAGAGATTGCAGCAGAGAAAGACCTGGGCCCTGCCGTCGGGGCGCTTTGGCGGGGCACACATGCCGCACAGCCAGAACAACAGAAATCCTGGGAGGGATGGTGTTGGCTGAGAAGAGGCATGGAGCTGGTGGCGGGGGCAGGAGGCGGATCAGGCTACAGCAGGTGCTTCCGCGGGAGGCCCAGCCACAGAAGCCCTTTTCCAAGATCAACAGTGACCTGAACAGAACCTCAAAGCCACACCACCACCATCCAGGGTGCCTGGGGTGGACGCACAGCCCGAGGAAGGGCCGCCCACCAACGCAGAGAGCTCAGGACCCAGGCACACTGATGCACGGCAGAAAAAGCAGCTGAACCTCTGGGGCTGGTAGTCCATGCTCAGGTTTTAGTTACATGTGTGATGGAAGAAGTGTGTTGTCCGTGGCAGCAGGCTGTGTTTGCCTTATGCTGAGAACACTTGCCTCCAACAGGGAGGCTGTGTGGAGACTAGCAGCTTGAGGAACAGAAAAGAACTGGTTCTGAAAAGTGTGTTTTCACTTGTAACATATGTGCCCATGTGATGGGGTAAAACAAGCAAATCCCTGTTTTCCATCTGCTCTGTTTTTGAAGGTAGTGCCCAGAGAGCTTTCTTGTTCCTGCGGGGAAGTGCTTGGTGATGTGCTGTATCGAGCACCTCTCGAGGCTCCCGCTGTGTCCTCCCAGCCCACCTTTTCCACCAGCCATTGTGGCTTCACGCAGGTGTTGCCTGGCAGCACCCTGCCTGAGTTGCATGTCATTCCCACTTTGCACCCAGCGCTTCTATGACTCTGTGTTTGTGTTGTGCTATCCTGGAGATTCAGGGTGTTAATAGCCCCCCTACCCCAGGGCTTCAACAGGGAGCCTGCAAGAGTTCCTCACCCCTTCCCCATGGGGACACCCCATCCCCAGATCCATTTCACACAGCCCCTCAGACATTGTCCACAGCGGTGACCAGCCCGACAGCGACTGCAGGTGGGCCTCCCCTCCTTCCCAGGAGCCTTCTTGCTTCCTGGGATCACTGCTGCAGGTGAGCCACCTGCCCACCAGCCTTGACTCAGGCTGTTTCCTTTTTTCTTTTTCTTGTAAACATGTTTTAACTAAAGTATAGTTGACATACAATATTATATTGGTTTCAGGTGTACAACACAGTGATTCGACAATTATGGGCATTACAAAATGCTCACCAGGCTGAGTGGAGTCGCCAGCCGTGCCCATACAAAGTTATTACAGTGCTGCTGACTGGATTCCCTGTGCTGCACTTTTCTCCCATAACTACTTTAGTTTATAATTGGAAGTTTGTGCCTCTTTATCTTAGTTTCAAAAGTTTAAAATATCTGATGGGATTTCCTGGTGTCTGGGAAGAAAATTTTGCTCCATCCAACAAAATTCTGGACTTACATCGGAATAAGCCACCTCCTGAGAGATAAACTTCTTGGCCTCAGAAAAATGGGCAAAGAGGTGAAGGGGATAAAGTCATAAAAAGGGAAAAAAAGTTTCTTTTCATGACTGTGTTTTCTCAAGAACTGTGGGTCTGTACAGAGGGTGGTGCCCTGCCCCCTCCCACAGCTGCCCTTGGAGGGGCCTGAGGCCTGTGGCTCCTGAGGAATCCCCTCCTCCGCACTGCCTTTTTCAATGTATTTTCTTTAGAACATTGACGTCTCCATTGTATCTGCTTGCTGAGCTGATGGAATGTGTGTGTGAGGCATTTTCTACCATCATGAGTTTGCTTACTTGTGTCCTCTTGTTATTCATGTATTTATTTTTAATGCTATATTCAGAATTTGGAGCTTACAAAATGGGTACATGGAAGAGATGAGTGTGTTCTAGCTGTCTTGAATCTCACTGTCAAGTGGGATGACCTGGTGTTCATGGTTCCAAACCTATGCTGGCCTCCTCTGGCTTTTGTGAGCAGGAGGGGTGGCCCTGCTCTGCGACAGGGAGTGGTCTGACTGCAGGCCCAGTGCCCTGGGCTGGTGCCTTCCCGGGACCTGGAGTGCGGAGGGTGGTGCTCAGCAGGTGTGCCGTTCCTCCCCAGGGAGCCATTTCTGCCTACTACGTCCAGCGCTACGGATTCCCTTCAGGATGCAAAGTGGTGGCCTTCACGGGGGACAACCCAGGTGAGTACCTCGGGGGTCCCAGTCTCCAAGGAGCCCGACTGTTCCACGCTGGACATGTCTGAACTCCAGCCCAGCAACCTGGAGAAGCCTCTGTGGTGGGCCACCCCGCTGCCCGGCTGAAATCTGATTCCTTTTGCCTGCCTGCCCCCACGCTGGCCCTGCTGCTGCCCTCGGGAGCCACTGAGATCCCCCCATTAAGGAAGGATGGTCGTCCCTGCCTCACTGTCTTTCCTGATCCAAACCAAACACCCCAGGTCCTCCAGCCCCTACTTGGGAGCCTGATTGAGTCTCTGCCCGGGCACCTGACCTGCAGGTGTGACTCACTCTTCATCTGAACACCTTGTCCCTTCCTGCTCTCTCCTCTAGGGGTTCCTGAGGCTGCTCCCAGAGGGGTCATCAGGTCCCCAAAGAGAGGCCAGTGGCTCACCTGAGTGCCACCAGGCTGCTGCCCCTCAGCCCACCCCTGCAGCCTCTTTCCTGATGAGCTACCACATTAGGGGTGCTGGATGTAGTGCATACAAATACAAGACACCAGGGATGTGTGAATTCCAGAGAAACGATGACTATTTAGTTTGTGTCCCATACAATATTTGAATTTCAGATAAATACAACTTTCTAATCTAAGTATGTCCCCAACATCATTTCTCTGGAATACAAGTTTAGCTGAGCATCCTCCCTTTTCTCTGGCAACCCTTCCCCAAATCGCCATCCTGCAAGGCATTCATTTCTGCTCCAAGGAAGTGAGTCCCAGGTGCCTGGAGGAGGGTTTGGGCTGCTGGGCAGATGGGGGCCAGGGTCTGCTGCACAGGGGGCTGACTTCCTTCTTAGAACCACTCCTGCTTCTCTCGTCAAGGAGTGTGGGCCTCTATTTCTTATATTTCCCCCTCCTTTGAAAAACATTTATTCTCAGTTATTTGCTGATTTCCCAGTTAGCCTCCATACTTACTTCCTGATGGTTGTACATGTAAGCAGGACACGGACATCAAAAATAAATAAACACAAAGAGAGACATATGTTTTGGAGTGGAATTGGATTCCTAGAAATAGAGTTGATGGTCTTTGTTAAAGTCCATCCCCAATAGCAATTACTGCATTTTGTTATGATAGTCCATGTTTTCTGCAATGTCTATGTATCCTATTGTGATCAGAAAAAAACCCTTTAACTTGCTATTATTATTGCCACCGCTAGGTGTCCCTAGCTCTGCCTTGGCCCCGTCTGCTTTTGGACCCGTGGGCTTGGCTCCGACTTGTGCCACACTTGTGGTTGCATCAGTGACCTGGCTGTGACCCCTCCCTCCTGGGACAGCCTGGGCTCTGGCACCTGGAAGGAACCCCCAGGAGCTGGATGAGGGTCGTGCTGGTCCCTGAGCCATTTCTGCAGACTGTCACATGGAGCCCTGTTGTCAAAGCACAAAAGCAAATGCAGAGCAGGCTGGGGAGGAGGACCCTGGCCCTCCTGGACCCAAGCTGAAGGGGAGCCTGGTGGACCGTGACCGGGTTTCAGCACCAGCAGCGCAGGAAGCCCCTTCTCCATCCCCGGCCCTGCCCTTGAGAGGTGCGCGTGTTCTCGTGCCCAGGGGATGCTCAGGCCCCAGTTCCTGTCTGCTCCAAAGGTGGGGAGGATCAGCCTGGCCCGGGAAAGGACGGTTGTTGCATAAGTTCCAAATTGGGAAAATTCTGCACTTCAGTGGGCCACGTCTGTTGAAAAAAGTTTTCAAATTATTTCTTTATTGAAGTACAGTTGATACACATCATGTCTGTTTTCCTTTCAAAATGGAAATAACTTTATTGAGTCTCATTAGGAAAATGTATATTTTGAGACCTACTCTGTCAACCAGAAGATTGTCAGGCAGGATAACCTACCTGCCTTGTAACCACTGTAACCAGGAGTGTGAGCTTCTGGGAGTATTTGAGCAGGAACGATGGAGAAGGAGCTTTCTGATCCTCTCTTGGACTTTGGTTTCATACTGATTGTTGGAGGGCAGGCAGGTAGCCCCTAGCTGGTCCCTCCTTGAGTCTGACCCCCAGATGGCTGCTTCCTTAGACAAGGCATTAGTTACTTCTGTATTAAAACAACAGTACCAGGCACCCAGACTATCTTTTCACTGCAGAAAAAAACCCTTAAGTACACAAACCAAAGGAAGGATGTGAAAATCATCCATAATCCTTTAGCCTAAAGGTAATCAAAGTTGAACATTTAATGGTATCCTTCCACCTTTCTTCCTGTGCTCATAAAAAAGCACATTACTTTAATTAACCCTGGCAGTATTTTTGTGCAACATCGTTTCCATGGCTGTCTGGGGGTTCAGTTGGCCCAGCATTTATTTCACTGAAAGGGCTGGTGTGACTTCCAGCATTTGGGTGATACAAACAATGTTGAGATGCACATCCCATCTCGTCCCTTGTCCTTCTAGGATAAGTGCTCAGGGCTGGGATTCCTGGATCCGAGGCTGGCACGCTGCTGATATACCTCAGCAGCAAGGTTTGGGTGTACCTGCTCTTCCCCAAGTCTCCTTTCCCAACTCGCTCACTAACTTGACGTTCAGGGAGCACTTGCTACATGCCAGACCTCATCTCAGTTCCAGAGAACATCAGCGAACAAAGCAGAGGAGGATCACTGTGGGCCTCGCATCTAAGGGTGGAAGTCAGCATAGTCCTGGTCCCTTCCAACCCTCCTGTCCCTGCTTTGTTTCCTCTGCCATGTGTGTCCTGGTGTACAGACCCAGCCCCCTTGACATGCTACACTCCTGGGAGTCCTGACAGCAGGTGGGGAGTTTGCACCCTTTTAGAAGAGCTTCCCAGCCCTAATCAGAGGTCCTGGCCACAGAGGCTGCAAGCCCCAGACCTCCCCTTGGGGCCTCCTGAGCCCTCAGCTCACCCTGTCCCTGCCTCTACCCTGGCACGCGGATTGGGGTGGGATGTTGGGGCTGCATGTGGTTTGCTTGGTTCCCATGAGACCTCCCACTAACCAGAGCTCCCCTCCCATCCTTAGCATCACTGGCAGGCATGAGGCTGGAGGAAGGTGACATTGCGGTAAGGTGACCTGCACGGTGGAGCCGGTGCTTTCTGCCCTGGGAACAAGGGTGCTGGGTCTTGGTAGCATCTTTGCTGCCTATCACAGGGTCTGCTGGTCCCAGAGGCAGCTGAGGGAGGGTGTAGGGAGACCCAGGCCCCAGGACCTACATCTCTCTTAGAAGGCCATGGCCTTTGCTGAGCGGCAGGTCCCCCTTGCGTGTCTTGATGGGCAGTCTTGGGCACAGTGGCAGAAGGGTCAGACCTTGGGCCAGAGGACTGGGATCTCCCCAGACGAATGAAGAAGGCATTACTCATGTCCTGCTGGGTCTAGTGGGAAAGTGACCAGGGAACCAGTCATCACCTAAACCATTAGGTAGATGTAAATATAGTAAGTTCTAGAAAATTGGCCCGCATGATCCATGAGAGCCAGAGCCCGGGGATTGGATTCTGGATTCACCTGGTGTGGAAGGGCCAGAAGGTTTCTCCAAGGGAGTGGCATTAACCTGAGGTCTGCAGCAGGAGGAGCGGAGCGCAGGGGTCAAGGCGGAGACCACGGCGCCTCACCTCTGCCCATTTCTCCCCAGGTGAGCCTGGGCACCAGCGACACCCTGTTTCTCTGGCTGCAGGAGCCCGTGCCTGCCTTGGAGGGCCACATCTTCTGCAACCCGGTGGACCCCCAGCACTACATGGCGCTCCTGTGGTAGGCCTGGCGGGGAGGCGGTGCAGGCAGGTCTGGCGCCCTCTGGAGCACCCAGAGTCCATCCACCATGTGGGCTCCTTGGGCAGCAGAGCCCCAGGGACTCAGTGGGTCTTGCTGACAGCAGAGCTGGGAGGGGAAGAATCCAGGACCTAGCGTCCCCCAAACCCAGATCAAGTCCTAACCCCAACACTGTTTCCTGTATGGCTGGGGGCAGATCCCACAGCATATCTGAACCACACTTTGCTCATAAAATGGGAAGAATAAGAGGATTGCTTCATTGTATTGTCACACATCTGACATGTGTAGACCTTCAACAAATGGTACTGAGGACATCCTGCCTCCTGGCAGTTCTCATGGGAGGGGTGGCTCTGCATCTTGACCACAGGCACTGGAGACATGCTAGAAGCTACTGAGGGAGGTTTCTGAGCCCTAGTCCAAGCCCCAGCACCCCTGGGGAATCTGGCAGCCTAGTTAGTGTAGCCAGTCTCACTGCAGTGTCCAGGTGGCACAGCATATAGAAACCACAGCTCCTTGTCTCTCCCTGGGCCTCTGTTGTGGCAGCCTCCTCCATACACAGCCCAGGACAAGGGCATCTCCCCGTGCTCCCCGGGACATGTGCTGGGCCTGCTGTCGGGGGAAAGCCTTAGCTCCCTGCCATGCACTGGCAGGGGTTGTGGTTCAGCCTGATCTGCAGTCCCTCTTGGGACTCTTCACCCAAACACATGGGCCCTGTCAGCCCTGGGTGCCCCCTCAGTGCTGTGTGCACTTCTACAGCTTCAAAAACGGCTCCCTCATGAGAGAGCAGATCCGCGATGAGTCCGCTGCCTGTTCCTGGACTGAGTTCTCCAGGGCGCTGCGGTCCACGGAGCTGGGGAATGGCGGGAGCCTGGGTAGGCTGCTGGGAGACACTGCACCTGGGAAGCGCAGCTGGCGGGCGGGCCAGGGTCGGGGTGGGGCAGGAGGGCTGTGGAGAAGGCACGGGGAGCCCTGTCTGTCTGCACTGCTGCCCCATACTCTTGAGTGGAAGACCGGGCCGTGGCTGTGTCCTCTGGCCCCTCAGAGCCCCAGCACCAGAGGTGGCTGCCTCACAGATGCTCCACGGCAGTACATCTGCCAGTGTAGCTTTCTGCCCCAGACACACAGTTCCGGGTCCCTGGGAAGAAGGACCAGTGCTGGGCTGGAGGGGAGGGGCGTGTCCCCAGATGGAACCCCAGCTGATGTGCACGGTGTGCGGGGCTGCTTGCCCAAGAGGAGTTTGCTGGGCCCAGGGGCAGGGACGCAGGCCCTTTCACTGCTCTTCCGAAGTCTTCGAGGAGCTTGTGTTTTGTTTTTGACCACAGGCAGCTAATCTCTTCCTGGTCTTGTTTCAGGCTTTTATTTTGACGTAATGGAGATCACCCCTGAGATTACTGGGCGTCACAGGTTTAGCGCAGACAACTGTAAGGTGCGTGCCCTGTTGGTGTTGGAGCCACACTGGCTCCACTTTTGAGTATTGACTATAACGATCATCTGCCAAATTGAGCTACTTTTCAGGACCTCCTTCATTTCTTCATCTATGGATAAACATTTTCTACTGGCTGGGGTGCTTTCTAGATGTTGGGGAAGCAGCAGGGTCTAGGACAGATGTACCCCTTCACCCAAAGAGGGGTGCAGATCACCCAGGGGTTCTACCTGAGTCAGCCTGTGCCACACTGTCCCTGGCGGTCACAGAGCCCATCTACCCAGGGAGCTCATGTCCACTTCCCAGATCTCCAGAGCTAGGAGAGCCTCTGGGGTGGGAGGCACTAGCGCTTCCCAGCATTTATTGGGGCAGTTACTGGTTATGTTGTGTTCTTCCAGGCACTGTGCTAGGGTTTTCTGTGTCTTCCTCATTTACTTCTCAGAGCAACTGTGTGAGGTGGGTCCTATCATCCCCTTTACAGATGGAGAAACGGGGGCCCAGAGAGGCTGAATAACACGCAGGTCACGAGGGCCCGGATGGTGGAGGGGGCAAACCCAGGCCTCTTTGACCGTGATTTATTTCCTCACCACTGTGCAGCCTTCCCAGGGAGGTCTTGGTCCATGCTTGCTGCTTTGAATTGACTTTTCTGTGAGGCAGTTCCCAGAGCGCGCCCCCACACTTGCACTGACCTGAGAGACGTGTCTGCCCAGTAGCCATCTGGGAGCCTCGTAGGCCGTCTGGCTGGCAGTGCCACACTGCGGTTTGCACCAGACTATGTGGTGGGCAAGGTGTTCCTTCCTGGATTGTAAAGGGAAAGGTGGGGCTCTCATCTCGCCTTCTGGGGGTCAGGTCAGTGTCTGTGGTTCACAGGGAGGACATAGCCATTCTCTTGTGTGAATCTGTCCAGATTTGACAGGGAGAAGGTAGTTTTCCTCATTCAGGCATTTCACCACCAGATGTGTATGATTGGTGCCAGGCACTGGGGACACACAGGACATCAGATGACATGGCCCCTGTCCCACAGAGCCCATGGTCTGGGAGGGAGCTAGGCAGCAAACGTGAGCAGACACACATGATTATGGTGTGTGACGTGGCCAGGAAGGGACAAGAGAAGGCTGGGCCGGGCTGGGGACTTGCCCTGGGTGGGTGACCAGGTGTGCCTCTCTGAGGAGGTGGCTGTGAAGTTGGACCTGGAGGAGGAGGATCCCACCAGGGCAGAGGACATGGGTACAGGTGGAGGGCCATTAAGGCCCTGAAAACAGACAGTCAGGTTGGGTGTTTGGGAGGGTGGCGGGTCTGCCCCTGGCCCCGCCCAAGGGCATGTGCCCCAGCTCCCCTAGCCAGTACTGCTGCCCGTGTGGTCATAAAGCCACCCTAAAACACGAGTGCCATGGTCACCTCAGTTGTGTTGAGAAAGAAAATGAGGCTCAGCAAGATGTGCTTAAGCTATTCAAGGTCATGGAGCCAAAAGGCAGAGGTAGACCTGAACGCTGGGTGGCCTAAGACTGAGCTCAGTGATGTGCTGGCTCCCCAGGTCACACACAGGGGCTACAAGCATGTGTGAGTGTATGTGACAGGGAGTTAGTTTGTGTGACAGGGCTATGCATGAGCTGTGCTGGAGGCCTGAGTCACGAGTGCTGAATCTGAGCTAAGAAGATGGCATGCACACGCGCGCGCGCGCACACACACACGCACATGCACACAACCACAGTGGTGGCAGTGAGAGTTCACTCTGCCCACTTTCTCCTGGAACAGGTCTCAGCATTCCCCAAGGATGTGGAGATCCGGGCACTGGTGGAAGGACAGTTCATGGCCAAGAGGATCCATGCCGAGGGCCTGGGCTATCGCATCAGTAAGTGAGCCGCTGGGCTGTGCTCTGGGGTGGGGGCCTCACCCTTCTTCTTGGCCTTCAGGCCAGGCCTAGCAGGGCACCATCTGTCAAGGCTCCTGATGGCTGAGCAGGAGGGAGACGAGCCTGGCCCTGGAGGTGAGACTGAGCTGATGGACACAGAGGGCAGGCACAGGCTCCTGCCTCTCCATTCCTTCCCTGGGTCCTGATCTCTGGCCCAGAGCTGTAGGGCTTGGAGGTCTTTCTGCAACTCTAACCACTAACCTGCAGGCCAGGCCTGGGACCCTGAGGGCATGGTTAATGTAGGTGGGAAAGGTCTGGGCTGGGGCCATGACTGGTCCCTGTGTTCTGGCCTGGGCAGGCCCCACTGGCCTGTGGGGCACAGATCTGAGCATTTTAGCTTGGACAGGGAGAGTGGGGAGGCAAAACTGCTGCAAAACTGAGAGATCTGGAATGGAAAACAGAACCAGGGTTGGGGAGGCCCCGGGTGGGAGAGGGGTTTCTGAGAACTGGGGCTGTGGAATGGGAGCTGTAGGAGGTCAGGGAGGTCCCCTCATGGATGGTGCTGGAATGGTCGGGGCTCTGCAAGGAGGTTGCAGTCCAGGCCTCTAAGATGTATGTGTCCTTCTGGGCAGTGGCCGTCATTACTGGAGAAGATAAAGAACCCCAAAGCCTCTTTGCTTGAGGGGCTCCCTGTGATCCTTTTATGGGCCATCCAGGGTCTACTAGTATATGTTTTATGTCTTTGAACCAACAAGTAAAAGGATACTTTGAAAATAAGCATTGGGCAGCATGTGTTAACATTGCCTGCACTCCTGCCTGGTGGTCCCACCTCCTCAGTCCTGTGAAGGCTTAACAGGAGTGTGTGCGTATGTGCCCTATGGATGCGCAGCACAGCCCCGGGTGCAGTAACTCCACACCAGAAACAACGCAGTGCCCAGTGATAGCAGACAGAGTAGATGCACAGGGGTCGTCATGCAATGCCACGCTGCACTGAAATGAAAATAAACCAGCCTCACTACGTGCGCCAGAGCAGATGAATCTCACAAATTTAATGGAGCAACAGAACTCAAATGCAAAAGCATGCATGGCAGGATCCCATGTGGATCAAATTCAGAAACAGATGGCAGTGAAAGCTGCTGTGGGCGGTCAGCACAGCTGGCAGTTAACCTTTCAGAAAGGTGTGCGAGGGTCTCTGGGGTGCTCTGTTTCCTGGGTTACATGGGTGTGTTTAGCCCATGGAACTTTGTCAGGCTGTTGGCTTAGGATGTGCATGTACACTTTTCAGGATGAATGTGTGTTCAGTAAAAATGATAAGGTGAGTGTTGTAAACGTTCCCAGTCCTCTCCACCCACCTGCTCAAAGTGTAAAAGGAAATGCCTTAGGGGTCACCAAAGACTTCAGAGTTCCTGAGCAGGGCAGGGATGGTGCTGAGGTTGGTGCCAAGTGTCTGGCATGAGGACCTCTGGCCATCAGGAGGGGCGCTCTGGGGGGACCATCCCCACAGCCAGTGTGAGGGAAGGCCCTGGGCTCAGGAGGGGGGATGTGATCACTCCAGCCTCCAACATGTTTCTTGTGCAAAACAGCGTAACACTGCTTATCCCCTTAGCAAGCGAGACAGCAGGGCACACCTGGCCTGCCAGCTATGCTGGGTCCCTCAGCAAGGTCACCTAAAGGAACGTGCTTGGAACCCCAGAGGGCTGTGCGGTGTGAGGCAGCCTCCCTGGCTGCTGTATGGGCCCACCCCTGGCATGTCCTGCTCCATCAGTCTCCATCTTGCTTTAATAGTGTCTGAGAAGGAGAAAGAGGTGCTTAAGGCAGGACCGATGATGCTCGTTAATAGCCACCAGCACTTGAGCACCTACTGTATGTCTGGCCTGGCTCCTGACCACTTCATCCATATTAACAATGTGCCTGAGGTAGGACTGGAATCTCAGGGTGTCGAGTCATGTTCTCAGGCCAAGCAGAGCTTCTGAACAAGCCAGTTTGGCCACAGACTCTGGGTTCTTAACCACTGGGCTTGTCTGCTTTATTTAAGGAATGATTGCCCTCATAATATTTAGACACCATCAAACATATATATGCACCAGCTGAGCAGGGCTAAAGCTGTGGTCCCTTTAGGCTTATGTTTCACTTTGTTTAGGTTGATTTGTAAAAGCAATAAAACTATAGTAGCAAGTTTGGAAAATAAAGAAAAGAAAATTACTTATAATCCCATACTCTCTTTCCAAACACTCGTAGCATCCTGGAGTTCCTACGGATCTCCTTTATGAGCTTGTTTGTATGCACCAATCATCCTATTTCCTTTGTATATACAAATTTAAACATTTGTCAGAAACCTTCACGGCGCTTTATGCCCCAGATTTTTCCTGGCTGTCAGGCATGAGGGGTTGTTCTGATTTCCCAGCATGGAATCACATGGCACATCTTCCCAGAGCCTGGATGGTTTCTGTAGGAAGCTGGCGTGCCTTTCTGAACCCAGACACTTCAGTGGCCAGGGCCGAAGGTGGGGCAGGAGGGCAGGTGGCAGCAGGGCCTTAAAACAATGATTTCTATTTAAATACTCATTTAATAAACGAGTATTTGTAAAAGAGCCATGCGTTATAGGAACACACAGACCTAAGCACTGAGATCCAGGTCCTCTCTACCTTCCCTGCCCCCAGCTGCCACATCACTGCTCACACGGCCTGGGGCGTTGTTGTCGGGGGACTGGCCTACAAGAGGGTGCCTCTGGCCACCACATGCAGCTGCCAATGTTCGACAGGTTCTATCTGGCAAAGTTTATCTGCTTCTGGAGACTTCCTGCTGCACCTGTTGTGTACCACCGGGATGAGTCAGCACTTAAGGAATTTGATTTCCAGAATTTCTTTTATGTCACCTTGTTTGCATTCACAACTGCAAATATGTTTTTGTCTGTTTATTCGGTGTCCTCTCATTGTGACAACACATGTGATGTTCTTTCTTGACCATCTCCATTTTAACTGGAAGTGGAACTATATGTCTTATATTAGACTGAGGTTTATTATTTTTTATTGTGAAAAATATTGTGCTTATAGCGGAGTGTAAGCATCACACAGCTAATTGTAAAACATGCCAATAAACACCTGTTTATTGAGCACTTGGTTAAGGAATAGAACACAGCCAGACCCTTAGAGCCGTCCTGTCTACCCTCTTTCATTTGCATCCCCATCCGCCTTGCCAGGTAATTCTATCCTGATTGTCTTTGTTATCATTCCCGTGAGGTTCCTTTATGGTTTTGCCATCTATGCGTCCCTAAAATTACATTTCTTCTTTGCCTGCTTCTGGACTTCATGATATATGGAATTATACTGTAAGTGCTTTTATGTGACTTGCTTCTAGAACTCGTTATTTTTTAATTCATCCAGGTGAATTAGTGCAGCTGTTCCTGGTAAACTCTTACTGCAGTGTAGTAGTCCATCACAAGACTATGCCACGATTTATTTATCCCTTCTTCTGTGATATACATTTGGTCTTTCCAGTTCAGTTTTAGGAGCAATGCTGAACAGTCTTGTGAAAGTTCTTTTTCTTATTTTTCACTACTTCATCTCTTTTCCTCTTCACAGGCATGGGTGGTGCACTGACAACTGAGTGCAGAACCTATCTCTAGAGCTTGTCATATTTGGCTAGTGTAATGTTTAAATTTTCAGATCAAATTCTCTTAGGAGGGCTGCTCACTCAGGGCACATCACCCTTCGACGTCAGACCCTGGCTTAGTCCTTATGGTTCCACTACCCTTCCAGGCCCTGGAGGCATTTCCATTTCCTAAAATCTGTCCCTCTTTTCCCAGTAATTACCCTTAAAGTTTTAACATTCATATTAAAGTTTATAGTTTTTGATCAACATTTAGAATTTACATTCTGCTCAGGGGCTGTATTTTCCCCAAGAAGACACCCCGTTCCCTCTCTTCCCTCCTTTTTTCAACTTCCATTTTCTGGTTCTGGAATGTTGCTAATTTGTGTGCATTATAATCAGTCATTATTTAAATTATACATCTGGCTGGCTCCTTTGATCACCTCCATTTATTATCTCACACATTTCATCTTTGCTTCAGGCCGCCCTTGACAATTCTTTCATGTAGGGGTGGGGGTCACGGGGGCAGGGGGAGTGGTCTCTGTGAAGACATCCCTATTCTGCCTTCACGCTTAAACGCTACTTTTACAATATGTGGAATTCTGAGTTTAAAAATCGTATTATTTCAGAACTTTGAAAATAATGTTCCATTGTTTTCTGACTTTTAGTGTTATCAGGGAAGCCTGATGCCCATCTAAATGCCTATTTTTTTCTTAGGCTCCTGAAACTTCTCAGTGTCTAGGTCTAGGCCTTAGTCATTCACTGTGCTGAATGACTCACTCACTGGCCCCTTCACTGGAATGCATCTGGTTGTCTTTACCTTGGGGAAGTTCAGTGCATTAGTTCATTCCCTCCAAGTTTCTCTGTTCTTTTTATTAAAATTCACCTTAGACCAGTGGTTGTTTTCAACAGGGGCAGTTTTGCCTCCCAGAGGCGATTTGACAATATCTGGAGGCACTTTTGATATCACTAGTGGGGAGTGCTACTGGCATCTTATGGGTGGAGGCAAGGACACTGTCAGACACCCTGCAATGCATAGGAGGGGCCCTACCACAATTATCCAGTCCAAAATGTTCATAGGGCCAAAGTTGAGAAACCCTGAATTAGACCAGATGTGGCTCTCTGGTCCTAATTTCACTCTGATAGAATCCAGACCGGAGTACCGCCTTTTGAATAAGCCCAGCCACCATCTCAGAGAGACCTAAGTGTCATCTTACCTAAGCTACAAGCATTCTCCAGAGGACACGTCAGCAAGCCACAAGCCCACCTTTCCCCTGACCCCTCCCCTCAAAAGAGCCTGCCAAAGCCCTGGCCATAAAAAGCCTCTTGACCTGTTAGAGACCCTGTTTACTTTCTGCTGGCCAGGACAGAGGGGTCCCTCTCAGGTTCAGAAATAAACCTGTTTGGACTGT